CGGGGTCGTCGGCTGGGGCTGCGCGGGAGCTTCGGGTGCTCCGCGGGGCCGCGAGAAAGTGCTCGGGGGAAGCGGGGGCTGCTCTTCGGGAAACGTCCTGGGAATTCCTCCTGGACGCATCCCGGGATGTCCCTGGCACTGTACATGGAACGCCCATTGAGCGGGAAGCAAAGAAACCTGGAGGGTGGGATATGGGGGGGAGGGACCGGTGCCTTTTTCCTCTCCTTGGCAAGGTTACAGAAGGATTCCCATCCCTGGCCCATATATTAAACCGCTGGTCGGTCACGGCCAAGGGACGGCGAGACTGGAATCCAGATGTAGCTGTCGGCCCAGGGTCTCTTCCGCCGGATTGGGCAATTTTGTGATCTTTATTTCCGCCTGGGTCAGCAGAACGGGGTTGTCCTTACTTGGAACTCATAGCTTACTTTAGGCGTGGGAATATGTGCGTTACTGACAAAATTAATCCTCTGATAAAATGGCTTATTAAAACAAAAAAATATGGGAGTAGCTAACAGTAAAAATAAACAGCCCAACGATAAAATGGCGCTCACAACAAAGTTCTTTTGCCCCTGATTTCCTAGTCAGACGGACCCTTTTTTCAGAAGGAAAAGGAAGAAAATAGAAATTCTGGTGAACACTTCCTCTTTCTCCAGTATACGCAACTCCAGAGAAAAACAGACTTGCAAGTGATGTGTTTGGACCTTTTGGAACAGAAATTCCATAACTTAAAAAGATGTGGAAAACACCCTGGAATTTTAGGTGGCTCCAGTATACTTAAGGCAATGTCTGCAAGTAACTGAATCACTTTCTCCCTTTTCTGAGTCTCACAGCAAATGATTAAAAGATCCAATAAAATTCTGTGGTGACGCCAGTAAAATTCTGAATCAGAGCAACAGCAATGGAGATGATGCCAGGCATTTACTGACAGCTGAGGCCAGGCACTTTGGTGATCCTTTTATGTATTATTGTACGTATTAGTTCACTTAATCCTCACACTTGCCCATGAGGTAGGTACTGTCATGATCTCCAGTTTACAGCTGAGGAAACTCGGGTTCAGTGAATGCTAGTGCAGAGTTTGAACCCAGGTCTGATCTCTCAACCACCCCACCATTCTGCAATCCATGATTCACAGAAGATAATAAAAATGTTCCCAAACTCTGCTGCACGTTTAGACAAAAATCCCTTTTATCCATATCCGATTTTAACACAGAGAGGTAGTTTCCTATAGCCATAAACCATGCCTTGCGTGTACAGGACCACGTTACTCATGCAAAATAAATGACTAAGTTGCTGTGCCTAATTGAACCTAAACAAGGTTACGAGCAGTGATCAGTACAAATTGTCTATTCTAGAAGCTGAAAATACCAGAACTAATTTCTTGTGGTATAATAAAATAAAATTTACTCAAGTCCTTTAACCACAAGACAAATTAGCCAGTAACCTTCTCCTCCTCCCACAAGATAATATTTATGAACACAGCTATTTGGACTCAGCCTACAATCCTTTCAATTAATTCAGGTTCAGGATTTTGTGGTTTCCTGTAATGTTCATTGTTACTCCACAAGCTGAGTGGGCGGCCTCTTAGTGTGGTACTGACAGACCTTGACTTTGGAGCCAGACTGCCTGGCTTGGCTGCATACTAGCCACGTGATCTTACACAATTATTTAAACTTTTTATGCCTCAATTTCCTCATCTGTAAAATGGAGCTCATCTGAGTATCTTCCTCATGGGGTTGTTATGGGTATGAAGTGATTAAATATGTGTAAAACCCTTAGAGTAATGCTTGGTGCATAATAAACACCATATAAACATTAGTCGAATAAAGACATGACTACACATAGAAATTTCTGATTGAACTTTCTGGTCTACCCATGCGTGATTTACTACATGTCTTAACAATTATGAGGTTATGTTTTATCTTTTTTATTTATTTTTTTATTTATTTTTTTTATTTAAAGATTTTATTTATTTATTTTTTCCCCCCAAAGCCCCAGTAGACAGCTGCGTGTCACAGCTGCACATCCTTCTAGTTGCTGTATGTGGGACGCGGCCTCAGCATGGCCGGAGAAGCAGCGCGCCGGTGCGCACCCGGGATCCGAACCCGGGCCGCCAGCAGTGGAGCACGCTCACTTAACCACCAAGCCACGGGGCCGGCCCCTATCTTTTTTAAATATGTAGATTATGAGCTTTTTGAGGCCAAGAACTCTGATCTAGAATCCCTAGTGTCTAGATCAGAGCTTGAATATTTGTGAATGGGTAAACTGAGAGTACAGTGTGAGGCCAGCTGAAGGTTGCACTCAACAAAGACATCTATAGCAATTGTCTACACTGAAAGACTGACATAAATCATTGCACGCTCCAAAATATTGACCTTAGAACCACGGAAAATAAAGGCAGTGCCTAGCGTTGTGCCTAGGGCCGCTTGACTGTGATGCTGGGGAGTTGAGAATGAGTGGCCCGAACAACAGCTATTCCTGTTAGTTACGTGGAAGATCCTGATATGGCCCAAATTAGAAGAAAGAAAGGAAGAAAGAGGGAGGGAAGGAGGGAGGGAAGGAGGGAGGGAAGGAGGGAGGGAAGGAGGGAGGGAAGGAGGGAAGGAAGGAGGGAAGGAAGGAAGGAGGGAAGGAGGGAGGGAGGGAAAGAAAAGGAAAGCTGGTCGATAGCTCCTAACAAATATTTTCTTAGAATTTTTGTTTTCACAAAGTTTCCTTGACCATTTGAACTCTGAAAATGGAATGTGAACGTCCAGAACCACTGGAGACGTTGCAAAATGTATTTTCCATTGCTATGCCAAACATTTCATTATACTCAAGGGTCACTCATTCATAGCTGGGTCAGCCTCAGGCTAGGACAAGTCAACTTTTGTTCTGAGAGCAGTGAACCCAGTTACACCTTTGGGCAGTAATTGCAATCTTCATTTCTACTGAGAGTTACCTTGGTTGACTGACTTCCAGTTAAAGATCCTCCTCTAATAGAGAGGTTGCAAAGGGAGTTGGTGGTCAGTCGCTATAATTCCTATACCAAGAATGGTGCCTGGCACATGGAGGGTAATTATTCAATATTCATTGATTGAAAATATGAGTGAATGTGTGAGTAAAGGCAACGATTGGAATTACTACTAAGAATTAGTGAAATTTTTCCACCTGTACTTATTTCCAATTGTTTTTATCCAAATTTGTTTTTTTGTTTGAGGTAAAATATTTATAACATAAAATTTACCATTTCAACCACTTTTAAGTGTACAGTTGAGTGGCATTAAGTACATTTATATTGTTATGCAACTATCACCAACCATCGATCTCCAGAATTTTTTTCATCTTCCCAAATTGAAACTCTGTATGTATTAAACTATAACTCCCCATTCTTCCCACTCGCTCACCCCCATCCCCTAGCAACCATCATTCTACTTTCTGCCTTCAACTACTTTCTGAATTTGACTACTCTAGGTACCTGATGTAAGTGGAATCATACACTATTTGTCCTTTTGTGACTGGCTTATTTCACTTAGCATAATAACGTCTTCAAGAATCATCCACATAGTAGCACATGTCAGAATTTCCTTCCTTTTTAAGGCCGAATAATATTCCATTGTATGTGTATATCACATTTTGTTTATCCGTTCCTCCATCAATGGACACTTGGGTTGCTTCCACGTTTTGGCTATTGTAAGTGCTGCTGCTATGAATATAGCTGTACAAATATCTGCTTGAGTCTCTATTTTCAGACCTTTGGGTATAAACCCAGAAGTGGAATTGCTGAATCATATGGTAATTCTGTGTTTAACTTTTTGAGGAACAGCCATACTGTTTTCCACAGCAGAAAACACTCCCAGCAACAACACACAAGGCTTCCAATTCTCCACTTCCTCACCAACACTTGTTATTTTCTATTTTTTTTAATAGCCATC